GTGTGTGTGTGTGTGTGTGTGTGTGTGGTAGAGGGGTACGTATAGGTGCATGTGTGTTTACCTCCTTTGTGTGCACTGGCATTTTTTTTTCACTTCATCAGGTAGGAAGAGGAGAGGCCAGAGAAGAAATGAAAACAGTGAGGAAGGGGAGAATGAGAGACAAACATGGCAGAAGACAAAAAAATCTGAATATGGAAAAGAGGCATAAAATTAAAGGAATATCAAGGGAGTGTCCAAGGACAGACAGACAGATGGAATAGAAAAAGAAGAGGGAAGAATTGAGAGGATAGGAGTGAAGATGAGATTTAATTGTAATATATTAGGGCATTAATTACAGACGATAAGGACAATGATGGAGAATGAGTAAAAGAAAAGAAGGAAATATGCAGCAAAACAAAAGTTCAGGAACAAAAAAACCTAAAATGGAAGCAGAGATGTGCGCGAGTCTTTTTTTGCAAGTCCAAGTCAAGTCTCGAGTCTTTGGCTCCAAGTCCAAGTCAAGTCTCAAGTTTCTTGACCTCAAGTCCAAGTCTCATTGCATGTATAACTCAACTGGCATTTTGATCAAAGGTATTCTAACTATATTCTATAATACTATATTTTAATCAAATATTAAAACATAGAATTATGTTTTAATAATACTATTAAAACATAATACTGTTTTAAAATTACAGATGAGGTTAAGGTTAAAATAACAAGAATTATGCATTTTTTTGTTAACTGTATTTTGCACTTGTAATCTTACAAAAGCGTACTGTAATTATATTTTGTCGTTGACAAACAACAAATCCAACAAGTCTGCTGCTGATTTTACAATAAAATACTAGAAAAAAATATTTTTAAATGCATAAAAGCGTGTCAGTGAAGACGATGAACCAGAATCCTTAAAGTAAAAAGGCTTCACAAGTCATCACAAAAACTAATTTTGGATTTGGACTCCACAAACTTTGCATTTTGCCAGTCTCTTGTCATGGTGTTGAAAAAAGTCTCTGTAAGCAAAGCTTATAATGAATGGCAGCACCGCAACACGCCTGCCATGCTGAAGCTCTGTTTGTCACATATGTACGCGTCTTAACACTGGACGGCGCTGGCCCCTCCCATTCTCAGGCGAGGGCGAGCGGAGCATGGATGGTTGTTGAGGGAGTGAGAATTATGAGCCGGGCAGTGAAAAGATTGCATTGTTCACAAGTCTCAAGCCACAAGTCCAAGTCAAATAAGTCTCTAATAGTAGGGACTTAAGTGCGACGACTCAAGTCTAAGTCCAAGTCACGAGCTCCCATCTCTGGAAGACAATATGGGTGTCGTGTAGGAGAGAACAACAAGAGGAAATGATCAAAAAATGTAGACGAGAGGAGTTAGAGGAAATAAATGGGTAAAGTTGTTTTTCTTTTGATTTTCTTTACTAGACTCATTAAATTGCATTCGTTTTCAAACAAAAAAATGCATTCAATATTTTGAGATTGCATCAAGTTTTCTTTAAAGAAAAGTATCAACACTTCAGGCTGAATTCTAATTATAAGTGCAAGTGGGGGTGACGGGTAAATGTGTCTGAGAGACTGTCAGAGTCAGCAGTAATGCAGACATACTACAGCAGCACTGTGCAGAAAAGAGCGCGCTGACCCTGAAGGCAACGCTGAGAATTTAGCAGTGGATGCATGTTCCTGCTCTCATCTGCGTCCGGCTGCTGAGTGCTGCTGGTGTCCTCCAGGAAACAGAGATGAAGAGCACATCTGGACRGAGCTCAGAGTACAGCTTCGGCTCMTTTGTGCTCCTTTGTGTCCGTTGAGGCGGTTCCGGCATCTAATCAGGATGCGTGCATTGTTCAGTAGGTAGAAAACCCCAAGATAACACCTCAGGAAAATTGGTAAGGTGGGTTTTAAGATCCCACAAGAGTGAGGATTTATACAGCTCATTCTGTGGGGACTTAAATCTTTAAATAGTCACATTACAGGGGGAACGATTTCTTTCTGGGGACAAAATGTCTTGAGGTTAGCGGAAGACAAGATTGAGGTTATGGTTAGTGTTAAATCTCCAGGACATTAACTTCAGGGTATAGAAAAGATTGTTCTCTGAAGTGATGAAATCACAGTTCTGTGTGTATCTCTGTGTAAGAGATCGGGGCGGTGAGGAGGAGAGAGCATCTAATGAGCCCCTCTGTGAGAGAAATGTTTGTTTTCTTCTCAGATATTTGAAACACAGAATCTGTTGCTGCTGTCCACAAGGGTCATCGGCTCGCGCGCGCGCGCGCGCGCGTGTGTGTGTGTGTGTGTGTGTGTGTGTGTGTGTGTGTGTGTGTGTGTGTGTGTGTGTGTGTGTGTGTGTGTGTGTGTGTGTGTGTG